GAGATGGCTTCCGCAGAAGACTCGTGCAAATATGAGTGCAGGGCCCGCGGGTGGGAACTGTGCCAGGGCATATGTGCTTCCCTCTTTGAAAATTGGCATTGCGCCCTTCGCGAAATTCTGCGGTGGAACCCGTAGTCCCCGTTGGTAGTGAGCGTGCGCGGATCCGAGGGCGAGTGCCTTGGCGCCAGCGAGCTGCGCCGCAGCGCGACCGCCTGCGACACCAGGTATCCAGCGCATCCTACAAGCGTACCTAGATGCGAGCCTGGTCTCCTCCGTCTGCAGAAGCCGCTAACACCTCCCTGTCATGAGTTCCCTGGGACCGTAATCCTGTCCCATCCCCTGCTTCGGCCGGGCACCGCGGCTGAGCCGTCCTAGTCGTGTCTTTCCCGCCTACCTTTTTTTACACGTGCCGCCTCCTTCCGACTTACGCTCTGCACAGGGAGGAATGCGCTCGTATTCGACGTGCATGAACACGACGTGGATGCTCAGGCGGCAGCGCATATCACCCCCGTACCGGCGTTTCACGTGTTTCGGTCACGTTCGTTACGCCATCTGCAGAAAGCGTTAGGAGGCTGCGTTGCATCCAGGAAGAGGTGAGTATTGCTAAGCAGAACCCATCTGCGGAAGGAAGTCCAGTCGGGCTTGCGAGGCAAGGGTCGCCCTGTCGGCAGATGACGGCAGGGCAAGAGGCGACGCCGGAAAAGGTGGAACACATTGTGTGCGGAGACATCAGCGCCATGTGCGGAAGCCGCTAGTGCGGAGAGCTCGGCAGGTCTGACGAAGCGGTCGGTCTGAGAGCCTCAGCATCCCCTGCTGTTCTCTTGTGATGGAACATCCGTGAAGCTTACTCGATGCTGTCGCCGCGCAAAGCTGAATCCCTTGCAAATGATGCTGTTTGGTTCCGTTAGTGGGGAACTACGTTCTGATGGAGCCCGTCAAACAGGCAGAGACTGCATCCTCGCCCCTGTCCTCTCCCGTGAGCACATGCTTGCAGAGAGAAGTAAGACCTTTGTAGAGAACAGTTGACCGCGCTGAGTTGCGCCAGCGGGTCTTCATCATGCGACAGAACGACCCATGGATTCTGGCAGGAGGTGTGGATGACGTGCATCCTCTTCTACAAGAAGTCGCTCCCGCAAAACAGACTTCTCCACGTTATGAAAAGGCGTCCTGCAAAAGTCGAGCGTACTTGGTTTTCGAGCCGTTGCAGGAAAATCGGACTCATCTCTGTGAGACAGTGGAACCGGTTGGTGCTGGACTGGCGGCAAAGTAGTGATGCCTCCTGTTAACTGGTCTCCATCGTCTGAAATGCTGCCGGGGGCTGGCGCTGGCGAGTCCTGGCTTGTGAGTGCTTTGTAGATGCTGGCCTAGCAACGGCGTGAAATATTCGTCGCAAAGGCTTTTAAGGAGCGCTCGAGCCGCTGACATTTCTGCCGCGTTCTCTCGAACTGTGAGTCTCAGCTACCCGGGCACCCTGGCCTGTTGCGTCACACGCCAACATGGTAGAAAGAGGAGAGAGCGTGACTCAGCGCGCCAGGTCTGTCCAAGGTTTGGAATGCAGCAGGCTATCCTGGAAGGGTAAAGGGTGACGTGCATACGCTAACAGGAGAAGTGGAATGCTACTGTCGGACTGCAAGCGCTCCGGTGCACTGTCTGCTTCACGGCGCTCCGACAGATGATATATAGCGTTTGCACCTCTGCTTCGCTCGCCGCCCGGGGCGTGGCACGGCGGAGGAGCCTTGGTGGAGTCTGCTACACGCTACGTACCCCGGTGGCCAACCGGCCCTGGGAATCACGCAACGTAGGAAGTGGCATTCTATGAGTTATCCTTCAGTCGGCAAACGCTCGTAAGGGTTGGCCCCCGTAAGTGGGCATATGCACACGCGTCCCCGGGCAAATTTGTACAGCACGCAACGCAGCCGGGACGACGGACAGTCCTGTGTGACTTGACGCGCTCTTGCTGACCCGCACCTACTGCGCGCTCAGTCCCAGAGACACTGTAACGCAGTATCTGGTAGAACTAGGGCGTTGCTCGGCCTCTGTTTCAAGCTCCACGAGATCTTGACATTGGGAAAGCCAGGGATGTACGCGGCAGTCAGAAGGAACCAGGGGGAATCGAGCACTTTCACGGACGCTCCCAGGCGGCAGCACGTCCGCCAGGATGCGAGAGCGGCTTCTTCGAATGACGTATGGGACGGATAGGATTCGCATCGGGCTGAAGAGGGGGGCATATGCCGGAGGAAAAGATACAGCAACGCCTCTCAGATGCTACATTTTGATCGCTGTTTCGGCTCCCCAGACGTCGCAGGTTGACGGCGTGGGGCCGCGAGAGGTGCTGAATAGTGAGAGGCATTTCGCGTAGGGCCTCGCGACACACAATCGGTTGTTCTCTCGTAGGAGCAAGGAATGGCCTCCCGCCGCAGCAGAGTCAGGAGCGAGGCTTCATCGCCGTCTAGTCACTGAATGTGCTGCGTATCGAGAACGTGACAGCATCGCTCTTTTTCTGCGACAGCTTTGAGAGTTTCATGGCAGAAAGCGGAAGGCATTGCAGGGCTGGGAAGAGCCCGAGCGGAGTTTTCGCATGCGATGGAGGTGTTAAACTTCAAAGGCGATGAGAGGCGAGGACGAGGCCTACAGGATACACTTAAATAAGTCTGGTGCCTCGCTGCGCAATCTTCGTCACGAAGGAGTAAATAGGTGTCCTTCTTTCTGGCATCCGAAATATGTAGGAGATCTCACTCATCGACAATCTATACTAACGCCGGCGCTCTCGCGGACCACTGGATTTGCAACGTACTAGGGAGACTCCGCCGAAGCCGCGTCCGCCGGCAGCAGGAACTTTACGTCAAAGGCGTTTCAGAACAGATGATGTTCTATTACACAGAGGGAGGTGAGGGCCTGAGCGGCGGCCCACTGTTCGTCTCCGGCGAGAACAGACAGAGTGGTGCAGGCAAGTTTCAATGTCTGACTCTCCCAGCAGCAATGCTAGAAACGACGTCCTGTTCGCGTGATGTCTATGCCTGCATGCAGCGACAAAGTGCGCTTACGCTCCTCTGAAAGAGCGTGGCAAACGGGGGCACAGCTTACTTCCTTTGCTCGAGGGAGTGGTCAGTTTCGAGCACAGCGTGACTCTCCAGTATTGCCGATCGTTTCGCGGACACGATGCATTGACTAGCAGGATTGGAGCACCTACACGGGTAGCCTACAAGTCTGTCATGCGTGGCAGTGTTAACTACGTCGTCTCGTGGCCCGGACTGCGTAGATGTGTTTAGCGATACCGTGCGGCGACTGATGTGCCTCCAGCAATTGCCGGGTGGCTCGTGTCTTGGCACCACCGTCCTGTACGTGCCGAGAACGCGAGGCGCGAGGTTCACTGCAGAACTGCCGGTGTCTCTATCGTTTGCACACGAGTATAGTCCCACCTTGTCGTCGTTTCTCCGACCCAAATGCTTTGCTGGCTACCACGCTGGCTCTGCCTGGGAGAATGTCCGAGTAGCAGGGCTTTGCCAAGAGTGCCGGCACGGGCGAAACAGGCGTTGCTCTGGAGGAGGCAACATATGTCAAAAGGCATTCCTCGTCTGCTAATTGTGTATCGTACGTTATGTCTTCTATGGCAACGCCTACTGCGCATTGCCCGTCCTTCACGCGGCGCCCATGTGCGCGTGCAGGTCGTCATCCGGATACTCCGATTCTTCACTGCAATACGGTCTTTGTAGCAACGCGTAAGGGACGAGCGCGGCAGCATTTTGTTGTGATCTGCGCGTGCTCCTTGGCGATTAAATCAGCCGGACTAGCAGGCATTTCTGTAGTAGGCCGAAGGTCGATGAGTACAGGTGGAAAACAGGAGGGCGCCACGCAGACTTCTGGGAAAGGCGCAAAGTGGCGTCGGGCGGTTAAGTGCAGCGCAGCACCTCCGAGCTGCTCTGGTGGAGCACGGTCGGCACGCTCTTCAGTCTTTGCTGCCGGCGGGAGCAGCGCCGCCCTGACAATACCAAATGATGAATCTTCCTCCTGTTACTACTAGTACTACTACTAGAATCCAGCATGACGCCAAAGTCATAACGAAAAGCCGCCGGGCGCTCGAGTGCTGCGTTTGCGAGTGGCTAGTGGAGACCCCCTCGCGTCCGAGGCTTGAGGCATGGATGTGGAGTAGCATATCAAGCGCCAGAGCCTACAGCATGGGTAACACTCCCCAACTGGCGAGCCCTAGGGTGTATTAATGCAGTCGGCTTGCATCGGCCGGCTCCGGCGTCGCCTGCTGCGCGCAACGCTGCTGTCGTCGTCGCGTGTGGAGAAGGCGTGCTACTTGACACATCAGAAGAGCGAGCCCTCCAGGCAGCAGAGACCACCGCACCGAAGAATTGGCCCTGTGCGCCTGCCTTGCCACGCGCGCCCTACGAGGTGCTTTGTACGGATGAGAAGCGTTGTCGATTGCCTGCAGTCCGTTAGAGACCCTGAGCTCACACACGGGAGAAGAATATGCTGCCGTCGGCTACTACGTAGCGTATTCCGTAGACTACAGGTCGCGCGCGCTGAGGCACCACTGCCTGTGACGGTGGTTTTACTCGTGAAAAAGAGTCGCCCGCCAACCGCCAGGGGGACATACATGACGGCGTAGCGCCGAGCCAAAGATACGCGGGGTCCGCATAACGCTCGCATAATTGACAGAAGGGCAGCAAGCAGAGTGGAAGCCGCACGGAGACCAGCCATCACAGTGCGGCTACGCACGTTTCGGGGACGGCAGCGAGGAAGTCGGCGGTACCGCTTTCTCATCTTCGCGGCCAGGTGGCGCATCCGCGACACATCAGTGGCTCCTACTTCCATCGTTGCAGGAAAGGGTAAGCTTGTGCAAGACCTACTAAGAATTCCCCTGAACTCGCGTGTGTCTAGGCACACCTGCCTCACTCCATGCAATCCTGCAGCGCTTCAAGACGCAGACAGCTATCACAGCCCTGCATTTATAATGTGGACACAAGTAACGGGCCTGCGAGCTCGGATACTTGCGTCAGTCACGATGACCGCGCGAAAGACCGGTGTGCCGCCTCTGCAGTCGACTCCTGCTGACGGCATTCTAGTTCCTAGGACGCCGGCTCACGTCAGCATGCCTTGTGACTTTCGAGAAGTCAGACAAGTGGGCTGCACCTGCTGCAAAAATGTGTAGCTCCATAATGCTGTGCACGTGGAAAAACGTGACGAAGCACGGCGTTTCACTGCAGTATCGCAATGCTGTTGTGCGGCGATACAGACACGCGGCATCTCGCCTCCCACAAGGACAACATAAGGAGGTGTGCCGCACAAAGTGGTTGACTCCGCGCAAGCCGGCCCACGCAGGCGGTGCACGCACTGCTGTGGCACTAGATATCATTCGCTCGAGATGAGCCCGACATCCCGGGAGGTGGCCTCGACAGAAGACCCGTGCAAATACGTATACAGGGCGCGCGAGTCGGAACAGTGCCAGGGCATATGTGCTTATATTTTTGAGGAGTCGGCATTGCGCCCTTCGCGAAGTTCTGCGGTGAAACCCGTACTCGCCGTTGGTAGTGAGCGTGCGCGGATCCGAGGGCGAGTGCCTTGGCGCCAGCGCGTTGCGCCGCAGCGCGACCGCCTGCGACATCCGGTATCCAGCTCATCCTACAAGCGTACCTAGATGCGAGCCTGGTCTCCTGCGTCTGCAGAAGCCGCTAACACCTCCCTGTCATGAGTTCCCTGGGACCGGTAATCCTGTCCCATCCCCTGCTTCGGCCGGGCACCCCGGCTGAGCCGTCCTAGTCGTGTCTTTCCCGCCTACCTTTTTTTCACACATGGCGCCTCTTTCAGGCTTACGTTCTGCACAGGGAGGAATGCGCTTGTATTCGACGCGCGTAGGCACGGCATGGATGCCCAGGCGGCCGCGCATATCACATCCGTGCTGGCGTCAAGTGTGTTTTAGCCACGTTGGTTGCGCCGTATGCAGATGGCAGTAGGGGGCTTATTTGCAACCAGGAAGAGGTGAGTACTGCTAAGCAGAACCCCTCTGCGGAGAGCAGTAGGGTCTTGCTCGTCGTCTGTCTGAGGCGGCAGGACATTTTGACACTGGGAAAATTAGGGGCGTGCGCGGCAGCGCGCCAGAGCTAGGAGAGACTAAGCAATGGCACGAACGCTTCCACGTCGCAGCCCGTTCACTAGGATGCGGCAGCGGCTTCTTCGGATGACGTCTGGGACAGGATTTGCGTTGGACTAAAGAGGGTCACACATGGCAGAGGAGACGAGACAACATCGCTTCTCAGATGCTACATTTCGGTCGCTACTTCTCTTTCCCAGACGCTGCGAGTCGACAGCGCGGGGCCGGGAGAGCTGCAGTAGAGTGAAAGGGACTTTACGGAGGGCTCCGCGACATACAATCGGTTGTTCTCCCGTAGAAGCAGCGAAAGGCTTTCCGCCGCAGCGGTTTCGCGACCAGGGCTGCACCGTCGCCCACTCACTGAATATGCTGTTCTTCGAGTACGTCGCAGCATCAGCCTTCTGCCGCGGCAGCTGTGAAAACTTTACGGTACAAATCGGAAGGCACCGCAGGACTGGAATGTGCCGGGCGGGGTTGTCGTGTGCAAAAGAGGCGTTAAACCTCAAAGACGCTGAGATGCGAGGACTTGAATTACAGGTCCATTCAAATCGGCCTGCTGCCTCGCCGTGCTACCAGAAATCGTCGCCACGAAAGAACGAATAGGTGTTCTTCTTCGCGGTATCCGATCTATGCAGGAAATCTCATCTGTCGACAGTGTGCACTAACACTGGCATCTTCGCGCGCCACCGGAATTGCACTACACTAGAGAGGGTCGGCCGAAGATTGGACCACCGTGAGCAGCCAGTTTCCGCCAAAGGACTTTCAGAACAAGTGATGTTTTCTTACACAGAGGGAGGTGAGGGTCTGATCGGTGGCCCACTGTTCGTCTCCGGCGAGAACGGACAGAGTGGCGCGGGCAAGCTTCTATGTTTGACTAGCCCAGTGGCAGAGCTGGAAGCGGAGTCCTGTTCGCATGATAACTACGTCTGCCGGCAACGGCAAAGTTCGGTTGCGCGTCTTCGGGGAAGCGTGACAAACGCGGCACAGCCCACTTCCTTTGCAGGAGGGAGTGATCAGTTTCGAGCACAGCCTGACTCTCCAGTACTGCCATCGTTTTGCGGACGCGGTCCATTGACTGGAAGGGTTGAAGCACCGTCACGGGTGGCTCGCATTTTTCTCATGCCTGGCAGTGCTCGCTACGTCTCCTGGTGGCCCTCAAGGCGAAAATACGTTCAGCGGCATCTTAGTGCTATGGACGTGCCCCAAGCAATTGCCGGGTGGCCCATGTGCTGCCGGCATCGTCTTGGGCGCAACAAGGGAGCGAGGCGCAGGTTGAGTGAGGAGCCGCTGATGCCCCTATAGTTTGCACACGAGAAAATCCCACCTTCCCCTCGCTTCTCCGAGCCTAATGCTTTGCGGGCTCCGGCCCTCGCTGCGCGGGGGAAATTGCAGGGCTTTCCAGAGGGAGCCCGCACTGAGGAAACAGGTGGCGCCGTCGATGAGGCAAGATTCGTAGATAGACATCCCTTGTCTGCTAATAGCGTAGCGTACGCAAGGTACGGCAGGAAGCAGCCTGCTGCGCGTATACATTCCCCATCCGGCAGGCGGCGCCCGCGCGCTTGTACACCCTCGTCCGCACACAGAATTTCTTCACAGCAAGACCGTCTTTGTTGCAACGGGTAAAGGACGAGCGCGACGGAACCATATTGTGATCGGCGTCTCCTCTGGAAAGGTGGAACCAGATGGACTAGCAGGCGCTGTCGAGGTAGGCAGAAGCTTGACGAGCGCTGGCGGCAAATAGGCGAGAGTCCTGCATACTGCTGGGAAACGCGCAAAGTGGTGTAGCGGGAGGGTGCAGCGCAGCTCCTCGCAGCTTCTCTGATGGAAAATTGTCGACGTGCTCTTCATACCTTGCTGCTTGCCGGAGCAGCGCCGCCCTGACAGTACAAAATAATGAATCTTCCTCCTGTTACTACGAGCATTACTGCTAGAATCCAGCATGACGCCAAAGTCATAACGAAAAGCCGCCGGGCGCTCGAGTGCTGCGTTCGCGAGTGGCTAGTGGAGACCCCTTTCGCGTCCGAGGCTTGAGGCATGGATGTGGAGTAGCATATCAAGCGCCAGAGCCTACAGCATGGGTAACACTCCCCAACTGGCGAGCCCTAGGGTGTATTAATGCAGTCGGCTTGCATCGGCCGGCTCCGGCGTCGCCTGCTGCGCGCAACGCTGCTGTCGTCGTCGCGTGTGGAGAAGGCGTGCTACTTGACACATCAGAAAAGCGAGCCCTCCAGGCAGCAGAGACCACCGCACCGAAGAATTGGCGCTGTGCGCCTGCCTTGCCACGCGCGCCCTACGAGGTGCTTCGTACCGATGAGAAGCGTTGTCGATTGTCTGCGGTCCGTAACAGACCCTGAGCTCACACACGGGAGAAGAATATGCTGCCTTCGGCTACTACGTAGCGTATTCCGTAGACTACAGGTCGCGCGCGCTGAGGCACCACTGCCTGTGACGGTGGTTTTACTCGTGAAAAAGAGTCGCCCGCCAACCGCCAGGGGGACATACATGACGGCGTAGCGCCGAGCCAAAGATACGCGGGGTCCGCATAACGCTCGCATAATTGACAGAAGGGCAGCAAGCAGAGTGGAAGCCGCACGGAGACCAGCCATCACAGTGCGGCTACGCACGTTTCGGGGACGGCAGCGAGGAAGTCGGCGGTACCGCTTTCTCATCTTCGCGGCCAGGTGGCGCATCCGCGACACATCAGTGGCTCCTACTTCCATCGTTGCAGGAAAGGGTAAGCTTGTGCAAGACCTACTAAGAATTCCCCTGAACTCGCGTGTGTCTAGGCACACCTGCCTCACTCCATGCAATCCTGCAGCGCTTCAAGACGCAGACAGCTATCACAGCCCTGCATTTATAATGTGGACACAAGTAACGGGCCTGCGAGCTCGGATACTTGCGTCAGTCACGATGACCGCGCGAAAGACCGGTGCGCCGCCTCTGCAGTCGACTCCTGCTGACGGCATTCTAGTTTCTAGGACGCCGGCTCACGTCAGCATGCCTTGTGACTTTCGAGAAGTCAGACAAGTGGGCTCCTAACGTTAGAAAATTCTCCTGCACCTGCTGCAAAAATGTGTAGCTCCATAATGCTGTGCACGTGGAAAAACGTGACGAAGCACGGCGTTTCACTGCAGTACCGCGGTGCTGTTGAGCGGCGATACAGACACGCGGCATCTCGCCTCTCACAAGGACAACATAAGGAGCTGTGCCGCACAAAGTGGTTGACTCCGCGCAAGCCGACCCACGCAGGCGGTGCACGCACTGCTGTGGCACTAGAAATCGTCCGCTCGAGATGAGCCCGACATCCCGGAAGGTGGCCTCGGCAGAAGACCCGTGCAAATACATATACAGGGCGCGCGAGTGGGAACAGTGCAAGGGCATATGCGCTTACCTTTTTGAGGAGTCGGCATTGCGCCCTTCGCGAAGTTCTGCGGTGAAACCCGTACTCGCCGGTAGTAGTGAGCGTGCGCGGATCCGAGGGCTAGTGCCTTGGCGCCAGCGCGTTGCGCCGCAGCGCGACCGCCTGCGACATCTGGGATCCAGCGCATGCTACAAGCGCACCTGGGTCCGTGCCTAGTTTCCTGCTTCTGCAGAAGCCGCTAACACCTCCGTGTGATGACTACTCTGGGGTCGGTAACCGTGCTCCGTCCCCTGCTTCGGCCGGGCACCCCGGCTGAGCCGTCCTAGTCGTGTCTTTCCCGCCTACCTTTTTTTCACACATGGCGCCTCTTTCAGGCTTACCTTCTGCACAGGGAGGAATGCGCTTGTATTCGACGTGCGTACGCACGGCATGGATGCTCAGGCGTCCGCGCATATCACATCCGTACCGGCGGAGCGTGTGTTCTAGTCAAGTCGGTGGCGCCGTATGCAGATAGCGGTAGAGTGGTGGGTTGCATCCAGGCAGAGGTGAGTATTGCTAAGCAGAACCCATCTGCGGAAAGAAATGCAGTCGGGCCCGCCGGGCAAGAGTCGCCCTGTCGGCAGATGACGGCAGGGCAGGAGGCGACGCCAGAAAAGGTGCAACACATTGTGTGCGGAGACATCAACGCCATGTCCGGAACCCGCTAGTGCGGAAGGCTCAGCAGATCTGACCAAACGGTCGGTCTGAGAATCTCAGCATCCCCCTGCTGTTCTCTCGTGATGGGATGCCCGTGAAGCTTACTCGATGCTGTCGCTGCACAATGTTGAATCTCTTACAAATGATGCTGTTTGGTTCCGTGAGCGTGGAACTACGTTCTGGTGGACCCTGTCAAACAGGCAGAGGCTGCATTCTCGCCCTGCCCTCTCCCATGAGCACGCGCTTGCAGAGAGCAGTAAGGCCTTTGTAGAGAAGAGTCGACCGCGCTGAGCTGCCTCAGCAGGTTGTGATCGTGCGACATGACGACACATGAATTCTGGCAGGGTATGAAAATTGGTGTGCTCCATCGTTTACAAGATGTCGTTCCAGCAAAACAGACTTCTCCATGTTATGAAAAGGCGTCCTGCAAAAGTCGAGCGTACGTGGTTTCCGAGCCATTGCAGGGAAATCGGACTCATCTCTGTGAGACAATGGAACCGGTTGGTGCTGGACTGGCGGCAAAGTAGTGATGCCTCCTGTTAACTGGTCTCCATCGTCTGAAATGCTGCCGGGGGCTGGCGCTGGAGAGTCCTGGCTTGTGAGTGCTTTGTAGGTGCTGACCTAGCAACGGCGTGAAACATTCGTCGCAGAAGCGTTTAACGAGCGCTCGAGCTGCTGACCTTTCTGCCGAGTTCTCTCGTACTGTGCATTTCAGCTACACGGGCACCCTGGCCTATTGCATCAGACGCCAACATGGTAGAAAGTGGAGAGAGCTTGACTCAGCGGGCCGGAGCTGTCCAAGGTTTCGAGTGCAGCAGCCTATCCTGGAAGGGTAAAGGGTGATGTGCATACGCTAACAGGAGAAGTGGAATGCTACTGTAGGACTGCAAGCGCTCCGGTGCACCGTCTGCTTCACGGCGCTCCTATGGATGATATATAGCGTTTGCAGCTCTTTTTTGCTGGCCGCGCGAGGCATGGCACGGCGAAGGAGCCGTAGCGGAGCTGCTACACGCTACGTACACCGGTGGCCAGCTAGTCCTGGAAATCACGCACCACGGGATGTGGCAGTCTATGAGTTATCCTTCAGTCGGCGAACGCTCGTAAGGGTTGGCCCCCGCAAGTGGGCATATGCACACGCGTCCCCGGGCAATTTTGTACAGCGCGCAACGCAGCCGGGACGACGGACAGTCTGTGTGACTTGACGCACTCTTGCGGACCCGCACGTACTGCGCGCTCAGTCACAGACGCACTGTAGCGCAGTAGCTGGTGGCGGTAGGGTCTTGCCTGTCCTGTTGTTGAGGCGCTGCAGCATTTCGTCCTTGGGGCAATCAGGGGCGTACGCGACTCCCCGCCGGTACTAGGGTCAACCGAACACTGGCACGTACGATTCCATGTAGCAGCACGTCCATTAGAGGACAAGCGGCTTTTTGACTCAGGTACGGGACAGACAGGATGCGAGCCGGAATAAACACTGCCACGCACTGTAGAGGAGAAGAGACAGCATTTTTTCTTAGGTGCTCTCCATGGCATTTGCGCCCAACGGGCAAACACGTATTCAGTGACGCTCGTGTAGATTTGTGATGCACGTCGGCAACGGCGGCCGTTTCAGGGGATCCCGGGCACAAGAAGTTTGTCGAGAAACCGCGCCACAAGGCTGTTGAGGGTGCCAATGCTGCAGGGCACTCAGCCTGTCCGACTTCTTTGAGTCACGTGTATGATCCGTTTCGTGACAGGTCTGCCGCAAGGCCTGGTGTTCCTCCCCTCCCTGGATGCGCCGCCAGCTACACGATCGGCAGCTGCTTCAGAACATTGTAAGCTGTTGCCATGCTTGGCTGGCTTGCAGCGAGAGGTTCGTGACGACTTTCCTAAGAGGCAGGAGCATTTTCCAAGCTGTAGACACTTCGGGGAGAGTTGTGCTCGGTCGAGAGCCCTGCAGGCTGTGGTCGACATCCCTCGTAGGCATCCGCAGGCTGACTACCCGGGCTACCTCCTTCCGTTAGCAGATAGTCAAGCATACGTCTGCTTCTCGGGTCCCGGCGTGTCGTCCTAAAGACCAAAGCCGCTAGGGCAAAGGCCCCTTGCCTGGTCAACTCTCAGCGCTGATTGAAAGCGAGGACGACTAGGCGGATGTGCTGCGCGCTACCGGCGCGTAAATGCATACATACACAGAGACGCGCATGTACGCAGGTGGAACACAGGAAGTCCAATCCAGCGACATCGCGAGTACGAGGACGGGGGCGATATGTGTCGGAACCTCTGTGAGCGCTGTCTTAAAAAATCTTTGGGTAGAACTCCCGTCGTTGCGTCACGCTCAGCCCGCTGCGGCGCACTACAGGGTACGATATCGGGCGGAAAGCGCGAATGCTGGTGTGTGTGCTCGACAAATCCCCAGCGCAGCAAATGCCTGCGGGTGTGCGTCGTGCGGCAACAGGTGGGACGAGCTGATGCAAGCATGAAAAAGTAGAGGAGCAAGGAAATACGAGGGGACGCATTACCACAGGCGGAGGCTGGTATCTGGTATATGTCAGTGACGTTGGGTGAAGAGTTATGGTATGGAGAAATAACAGCGCACATCAGCTATAAACCCCTTAAAAAACTGAACCAACCGCCTCCGTGCACAGGTACACAGCGGCCTCAGCGGATTATCATGAAGCGGGCAAACGGACCCGCTTTCCAGACGCGGAATTACAAAGCGGACAAGAAGGCGTCTGCGTCGTAGTGAATATTCAACTCTGGCTGAAAGGCTAACTGCGAGACAAACTCTTTGCTCTTATCTTGCTCTCCAGGAAACCCTTGGACACATTGCATTTCCAGGGTCGTTGATTGCGGCACCCGCAGAGCAGCGTACGGTTAGAGCTCACCACGACGCAGATTGCAAGTCCTTAAAAAACTCCCGCCTGACCGAAGCATACGAGATGCTCGCGTACGAATAGTCTATGGCCCCTCGGAGATGCGGCGACCTCCGGCTGACATCTGTAGCGCCCTATACTGGACTCGCCCTACACCCGTGTCCCGCTGCAATGAGTATAAACTGCCCCGTCTCAAACACTGTATAGTGCTATACCACGACCGGATGCGGAGCTCTCCAATAGTCCTCTTAGAACTCCATGTGCGACGCGTTCCCAGGATGGTCGAACCTATCGCCTGTGCGGCGGCGTCCTCGTCCGCAGTGCTTTATACCCGGGAGGGGCCTGGAGGGGGATCTGTAGCGTTCACTTGCTACGACGATCGGGATACTGGAAGACGTCCTGAGTCAAGGGGCAAGGTGCAGTCTCCGAAAAAAACGCCTCATGCGGCACACCCATCTTCCCGAGGCGGTGGGGAGGAGTCTAGGCAAAGGCGTGGGAACCGGGGAAATGCACGCATTTCCATGCACAAGTCCGTTCGAAATAGGGCGGCAGCTTGGCCTGCGAGAGAGTCGCGTGCAATTTGGGATGACTTCAGCTGCAGGCATACACGTCGGACCTATTCTGTAGTTATTGCAAGCTGCGTGACCAGCCAGCCTTACCGACAAGACAGAGCTGCAGGAGAGTCTAGCGGTGCCTTTCGCTGGCCTTCGACGGCGCCTCCACCGTCGCAGCCACGGCCCACGCCAAAACTTGCTAGCAAACTAGCGGACGGGGGACGGATTGTAGACCACTTTTATCCTTTGGCATACCGACTGAGTCGAGTTTGGCTGCGCTGTGCTCCATGTTGCAGGGTGAGAACTCGTAGTAGCATCAGCGGCCGCAAGAAACGTAGGCACCACAGAGGCTACTGGAATGGGAGAGGACAGAATCACGTGCCTTATGGCAAGCCCTCCACGGCGAGAGCGGAAGAGTCTGGTGAAAAGCTGAAAAGATGTAAGACCTCCGACAAGAATGTTGAACAGAACCGCATTGATCCATTCTCACTCAGAGAGGCTCGCGACCGAGGTCGCAGTAGGTGATCATGTGCGTCTGGTTTCTTGTGAAGAGGACGCCACAATTGCTGCTCTCTTATGTGCTTCAATGCAGTGCAAACTTCGGTCCAAGATAACCTAGAAGCTGACCCGTGACTCTGTGTCAGTGTGGAGCAAAATCTCCAGCACTCAAAGGCGATTTATGCCGGCCTCCTGGCGCGACCTGGGGGGAGAGGGTCATGATAGTAGAACAAGCACCACCCTACTTCGCACGCGCGCTGCAGGAATGCGGCGAGTCCAGGCAGCGCACGCCGAACAAAAATTGTCTCCGAGCGTGGGCGATGTCTCGTGTCCAAGCAGCCGAGAGCTGTTTGCGTGCTACTCCTGTGCGTCATAATCTCTCTTTTAGCGGCATCGCAAACGCCCTCCACCTCCTAATGCGGCGCTCTGCTACACAGCTGCAGGTAAGAAACCTGTGGTCGGGTCGGTCCTTCAAGGCCCTGGACACGGTCCTGGGCACTGTGTGCATCCCCTGTGCACAAAGCACTGTCCTGTTGCAGTCGCCTCCATGAGCGCCTACGAGGACACGGGATCGCGTGTAGACCGGCCAAAGAGAGGATAAGCTCACTGTAGCGTGCGCTTGACCACTATCACGTGCTGCAGCGAAGAAACACCTCCTCTAGGAGCACTGCAGCTACCCTCTTTCGCCGGCGTCTCTTAAACGACCGTGAAGTATCTGTTGCGGAACCAGCGTGTCCGTACGGGGCAGGAATCCCCGCCCCGCCCTCGTGCGGACGGCTGTGTTTCTTCCTTAGCCCGTGGTGTCCGAATATTTGCATCCCGCCATCTTACTCGTGTACGCCGCGCGGTGTTGAGTGCGGTGCCCGGGGCCACAATGTTCTTGCTGTGACTGATTATGTCGATTCCCTCTATCTCGGCAGATACTGACACACTTGGGAGGAACCGGCCGCAGAGTCGAGGCTCTCACCCGCTAAGAGTACTGCAGCAGAGTAGGTGCGGGCATTGCCAGGCAGCTGTAGACGGGCAGCGTGATTTGTCTCAACTTCTTTTTCAGGGGGAGGGTGACGATTACTTCTGCACGCTCAGGCGTCGCGACCCTGATCGCCTGCCCGCCGTCTGCGTACGCCCCTGTTCTCAGCACCGTCTTCTACCGTCGCCCAGGCCTTCTTTTGCAGCGTGAGGTAAGCGAAAGCTACAGGATTCGATAGCGGTCAACTTCTTAGTCCTAGGCGACAGCGCTTCACGCCCCGCTTTTAACAATACGAGAGCAGCTCAGCAACACAGAGGTCAGCCCCTAGACAGCGTAGGCGGTTGCGGGCAGACTCGCTGTAACTGCAGGACGGGATAAACTTCCCGGCGTGTCTAAATCGAGCTGAACTCTCACAGGGCCCTACTATTTGGTAGTTCTCCGAAAGGGCAGAACGCATAGGCGTAGAGGCTATACGTCGCCGCGTGCTGCAGTAGACAAAGGGCGAGGACGAGTTTGTGACTGTGCAGCCGAATAGCAGCGCGCAGACACGTCGCCGCGCGCTGGGGGAGACAAAGGGCGAGGACGGGTTTGTGGCTGTGCAGCCTAATAGCAGCGCGCAGACACATTCGGTAGAGCAGCGCGTCAAGGCTTGCAGCACTTGCACCCGGCACCGGAGGGAACCGCAGGAGGCAGACGGGAGCGACAACAGGTACTGCTGCGTCTGCCGCAGAACCTCTTGAGGCGCCTAGCACGCTGCGCACCGTACATCGGAATGCTACGCAGTACAATGGGTTGCGGAGGGCTCAAAGTCGCGCTTTTGCGTACCAGAGCACCGTAGTGGCCTGAGTGCTAGTCCAGGCAGTGGGCGGAGGCCGGTCGGCGTGGGGAATCGACGATCTAGCGGTATTCCACGTGTTAGTGAGCCGGCTAAGCGAGATACCATATATCGGCGGCTGCCTAGTCGCAGGCGAAATGGTAATGACGGAAGAGGGTTGAAAGGATGGGGGGCTGTATCACCAGGTGAAGGCTGTGTCAAACACTCGTCCGCCGCAAGTTTTTCGACCCTCACTAACGCGCTTGCAGGAGTAGAGGAAACGATGTGGCCGCGGGCGGGCTCGAGTTGTGCAAGGGCTGCACTACTCGACCAAAAAGAGTCTACTGTGAAAACGGTCTCGGTAATGGGAAGCACGAACGACGGCTTGGGTGACTTCGTCGCCCTCCTGTGCAGTGTTCCGTCAGAAGGAATAAAATCGGAATAGCCTTCACCGCGCTGCACCGCAACAGAGAACTCTTCGGACGCCACGTTTGCTCACTCGAAAATTCACTCCCTCGCTTTGACGAGCCGATGTGATTTCGCAAGAAACGCGAGTACACGCTGGTACACTCCCTCCCTGCCTCGGTGTTCGAGAGTCTCTCAGGCGGCGACTAAGGGGAACCGCAGGGCCGTACAGGACTCTCCTCATCTTCCTGTCACCGTCATGGGCTAGGCGGCGGACCCGGTCTCAAAGGGCTCTACGCGACATACTGCTCGATGCCTTGCGTGCGGCTTCGCCAGGGTGGATGTTCCTAATCCCACTGACATCCTAGAAGTCCAACCCACGGTAAGGCGTACAATAACCCGCCACTTCTGTCAGAATCCGCAAGCCGCCTGTGTGAGAGGGCCACCCTATGATTTCCCGAAGCGTGTGTATACCTGCGTCCACGTCTGGGCAAGCGTTGCACACGGGCCGCATTGCAGACAACTCGCAGCGTGTATCGGAACGTAAGGACGAAACCGGCAGACCTGGCCGGGGTGCGCGGGCGAGAGGCGGTCTGCAAAGCCCTGGCCTTCTGCATCAGGCCTTGTGGTGCAGTTCCTGCGACGGCGTGACAAGAATACTGATAGATTCTCTGCCGTGCGGATAGCGATCTGTACGGCGGCGGGAAGCGGAAGCGAGGTAGCACATCATATCGTGGGGAGGCTGGCTGAACACAAGAACGCTGGGACTCTATACTGCAAACACACAGGTAGTACAATAAAAGCAGCGACGTGTTGCGGTTGGGCACAATAGGGTATTCTCCGTGTCTTCTCCAGACGGCAGTAGAAGACGGCCTGGTGGCACAGAGTTTCAAGAAGCACGCACAAACGCTCGCTCGCTAGTACACCGGAGGACATTCAATTGCGATGTTGGGAGCAAATGAGATCCGCAGCAGTCGTCAACTGCCGCGTACGTTGAAACGCGCCGGCGGCTCTCGGGCTCTCAGTACGGAAGAGTCGGGACTGGTGAGCCGTTATGCATCCGCGTAGCGGTCGGTCTGAAATAGGGTTTATCCCCGACGTAAGCGTTTGGCAGTGGGACGCTGATCATTTCTGCAAAAAGGGGCGTGTTGGCGTTGGATGCCAGGTTCACAGCCGACGCCACATCCTAGGTACCATATTAATTGAGCCTAAGCGGCCTCCGCGGACGCTGCTTCGATGTCCGGTGGCTTCCTAGGTTCCCGGGGCGGAATCCGAAATTGCGCCATGATCGACAGGAGGCAGACTGGTGTCCTCGTGTCTGAGTGGACAGAAACGTCTGCTTGAAGGCGCGCCGCGCTGGGTCTGCAGAGTTGGCTAAGACGACTTGAAGCGACTCCCTGGTGCAACCTCACGCAGACCCCTCACACTGACATCATGTAACGTGCTCTTCCTCCTACGGAAGAAGAAGCAGCGGAGCGTGACCTCTGATTGAAGCTGGAGACTGACGACCACCGGCCGCGAGTGCCAGCCTCTGGTGATGCAGGCGGGGATTGTCCAGCTGCGAGTCCGGTACGTGCGAGAGCGTACTTCCATTGCCGCACAACACCGCCTCGACCCGTCACAGTGTCCTGGAACGCAGAAGGACGTGAGAGCCTTGCCTAGGGCCCAGCTGCTTGCCTGCCCGGAGCAGTCATCCCGGCGGTGCACGCAGCTCTTGCGTCTAAGTCATCAGTTCCAGATGACCCGGGAGACCAAGCCTGCGTGGAAACCCGTGTTGCACACACTCCCTGCTGTAGCTGCCTCGGGGACCGCTGACGGCCACGCTTAGACTAATAAAGAACCTATTTAGGTTATGACGCAGCGTAGCAAATCACCGAGAAGTGTTTCACCGCTGTTCTGAGGTTGCACGTAGAACCAGTGCCGCCAGCTCAGCGACTAGCGCCTGGCTAAGTACATTGCAGTAGCTGCGTGGAGCCCACCCTTGCTGCACTCAGCTGCAAATGCGTTTCCTAACGTCGAGGTGCTGGCCGCCGCTATCGGCCAAGCACTAGATAGCGTAGATACTGCATTCTCGAGTGCAGGACTCTCTGTTTAGGTCACAAGATACACCGTGCTGTCAGATTGCTCGTTTATGGTTTCCTTTGGCGGGGCGGGCCTCCTGTGGTAAGCCTTTGTCAAATTATGTAAGACGTATTTCCTCCGCTCTCAACAGGCGCCGTGACTAGGTGGTGCCTGGGGAGCAGCCTCCAAGTATAGGGCGACTCTGCGAAGACTGCTGCGGTCGGGCAGGCGGAGGTGTCGTTGAGGCATGATACGCAGGCAGGAGCGGTACCTTGGCCTCTTCTGCGATGGGGCTCTTGGAAGGACCCCCCGCAGCGTCAGGCGGCCGCATCGCCGTCGGCCCTCTACCCTCTACGCACCGCCTCGACCAGAACAGTGTTTTTTCCCCTTGCGCATACCGCCCGTACAGCGCATAGTGAGGGCAGAAGTTCTCAAAGATGCCTCGTGTGGGCCTCACTCTACTTTATACTTCTACTGACAGCTCGGGCCCTCTACGTAGATGTGGGCATCGCTCGGGCCTACACTCAGGGCTCAGGTCGACACACCAACGACAGTGAATGGTGAATTATTCTGTCTGGTGGCACTGAGCATACCGGTAGCTTTCGCGTAGGGTCTGGTCGCTGTGGCTACCTGAACGACTAGGACGAAAACATTTATTTGGTTCAGTACCAGAGCGCAGAAGGAGGGCTGAAAGCTCGGTGTTTCGGCGCTTCCGCGCAATGACTCTTCGTCGATCGAGAAACAATCAACACATCCGCATCCCCATCCGCGGCGGCAGTCCGCACGAGGAGCATGAGATATAGAACAAGGGGCTGCTACATGGAATGTGATAACCAAACTAAGCGCGGGAGCTTGACGGACGTCGGATATGCCGCAGCCTGTAGATACTAGGGTGCGGCAAAGCATGACACAAATGCAGACGCGGCCGGCTCGATCGCGCATATTCGTCCACAGTGCCATGACTACTGTGAACGAGAGAGCTCCCCCTGTCATCCAGAGCTGTACCGGTTGGCATGAAAGGTCTGGATCCATATTTGTAAGTGGCAGAGGCAGTGAAGCGGTCTAAGCGAGGAGGTATGTTGCAGGAGCCTCTGTTAGCATCTGATTGCTGGTCGTTGTCTTCTCGGCGTTGGGCTTAGCCAGGATCTAAGAGTTTTTCTGCCTAATGCGTGGATGGAGATACAGCTTGTGCAGCAACGCGTCCATCAACGCGCACTACGGCTGCCCCACTATGGCGTCCTGGGAAAGTCAGATCCGCAACGCTCGAAAGAGGGAGCGGCGGAGAGGGAGCAAAAATTGCGCTTCCCTGTGTGCCAGATTCACATTGGCAGGTTGCCTCTGCAAGCAAAGGAAGACGCAGAACACCGAGAGCGGGCAAAGATAGCAGGTGGTCTGCGTGACAGGTACGTGGTCGTAATCGCTTTTCAGAAATGCTTTCCTGGAGAGTAATACTACGCTGACAGACGGTGCCACCCGGCTGTTTTAAAGTGCCAGACATAGTGCGCTTCGTGATCAGCGGAGGAGCTGTCCGCATGTACAACTCCGAACAGCCAGTGACACGAAGAAAGAGGCCCACCGGTACAGAAAAGGAAAGAAGAGACTTCGAATTTGTATAAGGGAAAGTCAAAAGTAAAGAGTGTTACAATGCGAGTGTTAGACTCATAGACCACACTCAGACCCGCGTTATGCGTCGCTGCGCTACCAGGAGTCTTCACAACGACAAAATAAGTAAAAGTTCTTCCGTCTGCTATGCGAGTTATGGAGGAGACGCGATCTTTTTGGCTGCGAGCGGAAACTGCGGCACCTTCGCCGACCGCCGGAATCCCGTTATGCTGGCGGCGTATCGTCGAGATTCGCTTGTCCGTGGGCAAGTCTGTACAACTTCAGCTAAAGGCATCGCAAACAAAACCATGTCCTGCTAAACAGAGAAAGGTGAGAGGCTGACCGACTACAACAAGAGCCGATCGACTGCTGCAAGCAGCTTCCATATCCTGGTCGCTCACCGAGTTTGCTGAAAATGGAGGTCTGCTTCCACAATGCTTATGTCTTCAAGTGCAGGCGCAGCAGTTTTGCGCGCCTGGGGGGAATGGTGAGAAACATGTGTACAGCGTGCTTCTTCCACAACAGAAGCTCATCAGCCTTGAGCACAACCTGGCTATCCTTTTCTGCCGGTCGCCTTGCAGACGTCGTGCTTCGACTGTGGGCGAAGGAGCAGAGAACCTACACAGGCAGCACACATTTCTCTATTGCCTTGCAATGTTTGCTTCACCACCTTGAGACCCTAAGAGGGACACTGCCTCGCCGACAGTGCACGGCCGCGCGTGTTTTGAATAGGCAGGGAAGCCGCCCATGAGCTGGCGGTACCGCGGTGCACGTCGTGGCTGCGAGGCGCGGCAGGCAACGACAAACTACCAGTGCGCCTGTATTCTGGAGCACAGTTGTGCCTTCTTTTCCTCCGCTAGCAGCCACACTTGGCGGTAACCACACGGGCATTGGCGTTGCATTACGAGCGAAATGCCTCTTTATAAGCCACCAGCGGTGAAGGACGCGGAGCTCTGAAGCAGACGTAGTCCCCAGATCCTCAACTCTCTTGTACTAGATGCGTAATGTACGCTCATAAGGGCCTTCTGAACCAGCAGGTTGTCTTCGCGGTGAACCCCGGCGCCCGTGCGCTTGCAGGCCCTCGACTGGACACCGGGGTTTTCCCTAGCAAGACTGTCTTTGCAGCGACGGGTGAGAGAGGAGCTGGGTGATCAGCATGATCGCCTCAGAGACAGAGTCAGAGCGAATAACGTGAAGTGGCGAATTATGCCGGAGCTCACGGGAGCAGACGTCAAACATGAGCGAGTCCAGCAGATTGCTGACAAACGCCCGGCGCGCTTTGCCGTTTGGTCGCCCTGCATATCCTCTGGCGAATAGCTGTCGGCACGCTCTCTAGTCTTTGCTAGCTGCGGAAGAGGCGATGCCGAGCCACTATCTAGCACAATGCCTCTTTTCATTCTTACTATCAGCACTACTACTAGAACCCGAACTAATATCACAGAAGGCGCAGAGGCACGCGGTATTCCGAAAGACGCAGAGCCCGGGAACTGTTAATGGCGTGATCTACAATGAAACGCAAATGCGCAGACAAGACAAGTCTGTAATTGCGGCGGCCCCGGACATCCATGACTGGAAATCCCTATCGTCCCTCAGGCTCCGACATCTCAGAACAGGTGGTGCCATGTCACCATACATGTCTTTCGGCGGCAAGGGCGGCAGACTACTTTCCATCTCTAAGCTCACTTCAGTGCAGTGAATGGCGACGCAGGGAGTCTGTGCCAGCGAAGGAGCGGCAGAAAATTACGGTTTTCGCGATACTTGCGGTGGCGCACGATACACTATCACTGGAGGCGGTGCGCAAGACTGTGACGTGCAAGAGAAGAACAGCAGATTTTCCCCAGGCGACGCATGATGCGAAGCCGACGCCTGAGCTTTCTCGAACTGCGCAACGTTGGTCAGATAGGCTAATGCTTCTGAGTGACATCAGAGAATGCCCGAAGTCGTAAACCGTATATCAGCAGGGAGTATTATCGGGTGCGAAGGCGGTCCTCCGGCAGCCATTGTACACAGTGCGATTCTGTGTTGGCAGTGGAGAGCGCGCCTGTCACCTGCGTGCCGCTTTGCCACACAGCGTGCCTCAACAGGCACGCACAACGGTCTGTGTCTTCATCGCAACTGCAAGATAGTCGTGGACACGGCGGGTCTCTCGTGAAAGCTGGAGGGGCAAGGCAGTCATTTCCTCCTAGTAGCCTGTGAAACGTACTCTGTTCGCCAGAACTGTCTAAATCCACATCCATACTTTGGCACATAAGCGTCTCATGAGCAACAACTGCAACAGGGTAATCATCCACTCCTAGCCAGGCGCCAGCTTGACAGAGCGTCCACAGATTGTAGAGACAGCACCGTAAGGGATTAGGAAGGTTTCGGCGGTCCTCTGGAAGCCTCATCCTCTGTATTCTGGCCAAGGTCTCGTGCTGTGTACGCAGCACAACAGTTAACATGGCGCGGTGAATGTTCCTGCTCTAGGGATGTGTCTCCACTTGGCGCCGAACGTACATACATTCGAATCCGTCTCACTTGAACTGCTTTCGTGCCGTGTGATGTCTGCCCCGGGCTGGACTGCGAAACAGAATGAAGGCAGGGACGCCTGCACACTGGCTGCCGTCACTACGAGAAGGAGCTTACCCTCGGGAAGACCGCGTAGGAAGTAGGAGGCCGCGGCGCTCTAGAGCATGTATTCTTCTGGAGAACAAGCGACTTGTGGCCGCAATGTCGCTGAATTTATTTGTACTCAACGCCTCGTCGAGTGTTCGACTGCTGCGTCCGCAAGCGGCTGGTGAACACCCCCGTCTGACGCTTCAGCCACTGATGCGGCATGGTGTACAAGGAACCACAGCGGACAGCACGTACAACAGTCCCCTCATGGCGAGCATTAAGGCCTGTGAATGCTGGCGGATTGCACTGGCTGGCTTCAGCGTATCCTGTTGTGGTGAATGCTGGCGGGTTTCTCGTTTTTCGAAGAGGCGTACCCGTTGACACATCAGAAGAGCGGCCTTGCAAAACAGCGGGGGCGTGCGCACTGAAAGTCTGGCTTTCTGTACCTGCTTCTCGACGCGCGTGCTGCGGGACGCTCCATACACGTGAGAAGCGCTACCGGTTCCCTGCGGTCAGGGTCAGGCCCTGAGCTCATTGAGGGGAGGAGAATATGCTGCCTCCGGCTACTACGTAGTGTATTCCGCAGACTATGTGTTGCGTGTGGTGAGCCACGACCCCCGTAAGGGTTTGTTTACCAGTGAAAAAGACAATCGACCTATAGGGGGAGACAGTTGGCGGTGTAACGCCAGGTCAGAGAAACCAGGCGCCGGCAACGTCCTCACATAATTGACAGGGAGACAAAAAGCAGTGTTGAACCCACACAGAGATCAGCGAATACAGTGGGCCCCGAAAACATCTTTTCGACCACGTGGTGCATCCGCCTGCTAACTTCACTGCAGCAAAGAGTAAGGGCCTGTGAGACTCGCTAAAAGTTCCTAAACACGCATGTGTCGAGGCGCACCAGCCTCACAACATGCATCCCTGCGGCGCTTCAACACTGAGGACAACCCTTGCAGCCCTGCCTTTATATTATTAAGTATTGCAGCCCTGCCTTTATAATAGTAAGGCAGGTAACTGGCGTACCAGATCGGATACTTCCGTGAGCCACGATTAGCGCCTGCTGAAAAAATATCTGTGTGTCGGCTCCCCAGTCGACTCTTGCTGACGGCATTTTAATGTCGATGACGCCAGGTCACGTCGGCATGCCTTGTGAATTTCGATGAGCCAGGTAAACTGAGACCTAACGCTAGAAACTTCCGTTGCACCTGCGGCAATCTCGTCTAGTTCCGTAATCCTGTGCCCGTCGAAGGACGTTACTGAGCAGCGCATTTCACTGCGATACCGCGGTACTGTCGAGCGGCGACCATAAGCAGGCGGCGCCTCGCGTTTACGAGGACGACACAGGATGTTGTCCCGCACGGAGTGGCTGACCCTGTGCAAGCGGGCCAGCGCAGGCGGGGCATCCACTGCACCGCTGTGGGACTGAAAATACTTCGCTCGAGGAGAGCCTGGCATCCGGGGCGACGGCCTCCGCAGAACAGCCGCGCAAGTATATATACATATATATATATATATAAATATATATGTATATATGCTGAAGCTGCAAGAGCCGCCTCGGCGGCGCAGTCGACGCGGAACGGTGCCAGGACACGTGTGCTCATCTATTTGAGGAGCTGACATTGTGCCCGCCGCGATGTTCCGCGCCAAACCGCTTACTCGTCGGTAGTAGTCAGCTTGTGGACGTCCCAGGCCCAGTGCCTATCGACAAACACCGGCGCGCGACCGCCCGCGACATCAACGCGTCCCGGGGGGCCTACAAGTGTACCTGGGTCCGTCTCTAGTCTCCTGCCGCTGCAGAAGCCGCTCACACGTTCTTGTAATTATTTTCCTGGAACCGGTAGCGCTGACCCAGCCCCTTCTTCAGCCGGGCGCCCCGCCTGAACCCTAGTAGCACTGTGTTTCCTGCAGGACATCTGTCACACCTGGCAGGTCTCTCAGACGTAGATTCTTCACAGGGAGGGAGGCGCTCCTGTTAGACGTGCATTGGCTCCTGGCGCGTCTCTCAGCCGTAATCTCTGCAGAGAAGAAAAGGCGCTCGTATTCGGCGTGCATAGACACAACCCGAATGCTCAGCCGACCGCACTTGTCACACCTGTCCCGGCGTAGCGTGCACATCAGCGATGCTCGTTGCACCCTATGCAGGTATCGGTGAGAGGCTGTGTTGCATTCAGCAAGTGAGTGCTGCGAGGCACAATCCTTCTACGAGGAAACTCGCATTCCAGCCCGGGGAAACAAACTCGCCCTGCTAGGAAAAGAGAGCAGAGGGGGAATGCTCGCGCCTACAAAGGGTGAGCGAGATTGTGGGTACAGACATCAGCTCCCTGCGCGGAACCGCTATTGTTGCGAGGGTGGCTACTTTGACCAGCCCGTCGGTGTGAGGAGTGTAAGGGCTCAGCACTCAGCAGCGTTCTGTCGTCATAAGAGGTCCCGTAACTGTGGCGTCGCGTGCTTCATGGTGTCGCTGCGCAGGATCGAATATCTTGCACCTGCAGTCATGTCCTGAGGGCCTCCGTTGAGCAGGCGATTTTCTCGCCCGCCTCCTCCGCCGTGAGCATTGCATGTAGAGAGAAGTAAGATCATTGATGATCGGGAGAGTGCACTGAGCTGGCTTGCCGTCATGGGATAGGACCGGCCATGAAACTTCGCCAAGATTTGTGCACTCCTCTGCTCCATCGTTTACGGCAAGCCGCTCCAGCAGGACAGTTTGCCTGATGGTACGGAAGGCGGCGCTCGAAAACTCGAGGATACATTGCTTTCCCGTTCCGCTAGTGAAATCTGGCTCACCCTGCGAGAGGAGGGAAGCGGGAGGTGTTTTAATGGCGCCGCACTAGTGACGTCTGCTGTTGATGTGTCTCCACCGTGTGGAAAGTCGCCAGGGTCGGCGTGGTGAGTCCTAATTCGTGATAACTTTTCAAGCCCTAGCGTAGCAGGTGGATGGGTCAGCTGAAACAGAATGCACTGACAATCGGTCGGGTCTTCAGCTTTCTTCTCAGCCTATTGAAGTGTAAGAGGTAGCCGGCGAAGCTTCCGTGCTTCTCGTGTCCGAACAGAGTAATTGTAAAAAAAAAAAAAGGAGCTTGATTCAGCACGTGGGAAGCTTGCAAGGGCTTGAATCCGCCCGGCATCCTGAACTGATAAAGAGGCGGCGTGTGTATGCTGACTGGAGAAGACGAATCCTACTGTAAGACTTCCAGCGCTCCCGTGCACCTTCTACTGGACGGTGTTCCAGTGGATTATATACAGAGTCTGCACCTCTGGCCCGCCAATCGGACGAGGCGTTGCGCGGGAAATGAGCCGCGGTAGCGGCTGCTACATTCCACGAGCCTGCCAGCTAACTAGTCCTGAGAAACACGCACAACAGGCTGTGCCAGGCTATTAATTAATGCTACGTCGGCAAACGCTTCTAAGGGCTGCCCCTCGTAGGTGTGTGACGCAGACACATCTGCACACGCGTCCTCCGGCAAATCTTTGCAGCACCCAACGCAGCCGGAACGACGGACAGACACGTGTGATCTCACGCACTCCGATCGGCGCGCAGTTCCTGCGCAGTTAGTCACATAGCTGGTGGCAGTAGGTCTTGCTGGACCTCTGTCTGAGGCGCCACGACATTTGGACATTGAGAAAATTGGTGGTATACGCGCCAGCCCGCCGGAACCAGGGAAAAACGAACGCTGGCGTGCGAGAATAAAACAGCAGGTCAGCGGCGGTCGTGCTATACTGCGAACTCAACGCGTGAGCTGAGATTCTGTAGAGTGCGCAACGTCCTTCAGAGAGGCTGATGCTCCTGTGTCACATCGGAGGAGGCCCGCAGTCGTACGTCAGTCTCAGAGGGGAGTGCCATGGGGCGCCAAAACGCTGTCCGGCCGCAATCGCACGAGGGTGGATCTTCGCCTGCAGCGAAATGCGCCCCTAGTATCTATGCATCGCTTCGCCACACAAGGCCGTCCACGAGGCACACAGAGCCGTTTGTGTCTTCTGTACACCGACAAGGTAGTCGTGGACACACGGGGTTTCTGGTGGGTGCTGGACGGGCAAGGCGGATCGGTTCACAAAGTAACCTCTGAAGCGTACTGCCCTTCGGGGGCTGTTCTCAATCACCACAGCACCTACGCATATGAGCGTCTCCTTAAGGTGTTAGTGCGGCATGGCCTTTGTACAGTACTCGCTCGCCGCAGGGTTGGCCGGGTGCTGACGTATTGCGCGAACAGCAGCCTAAGAGCTGAGAAGGTTTTAAAGATCCTTCGTAAGTCCCCTTTCCTGTCGTGCCCGAGGCAGTTGACGCAGTCTGGAGGAGAACCCGCGACCAAAGTACATCTTTCGGTCGCCGAAAACGTACCTACACTCAGGCTTCTCCCAGCCGCCCTGCTTTCGTCTCGTATGGCGGCCCTCGCGCGGGCTGAACTGCGGGGCAGAATGGAGGCACAGGTGCCTGCACGCTTGTCTCCGTCAGCAGGAGAAAGGTCTGACCTCGGGAAGACGGCGGTAAGAGGTAGGAGGCCGAGGCGCGCTACAGCGTGTATGTAGGAGGCCCAAGCGCTCTAGAGCATGTATGCTTCTGAAAAGCAGGCCGTGCTTGTGGCTGCAATGTCGCTGAATTTATTATTCAACGCCGCGTCGGGTGCTCGACTCCTGCGTTCACAAGTGGCTGCGCATATTCTCTTTGTGTCTATCGCTTTAGGCACAAACTGCGGCATAGTATACCAAGCCCCAGAGAGTAGAACATGGCCAGCAGATCCCGCTTGGCGAGCACTAACGCGTGCGGATGCTGGCGGTTGAAACTGACCGGCGCCGGCGTGGTGTCGCCCGCTCAGTGCTGCCGGGATCCTCATGTCTCGAAGAAGCGTACAAGATAACACCAGACGAGCGGGCCCTTAAAGTAACGGGAGCGTGCGCACGCAGATGTCGACGTTATATGCTTGCTTTGCCACGCGCGTGCTGCAGGACGCTTCATGTGGGTGGGAAGCGTTGTCGATTCTCTTCAGCGTGAAGCAGACCCTTAGGGCGGAGAGGGGAGGAGGATATGCCGCGTCCAGCACTCTACTTCGCAGAGTATATGTCGCGCGCTCTGAACCACGATTCCCTGTGACGCTGCTTCCGTTAGCGAAGAAGGAGCCACCCATCAAACTCCAGGGGGCGACACTTGACGGTGTGACGCCATGTCAAAAAAAGGCGGAAAGGGCACATGTTTACATGAAAGGCAAGCCGACGAAATAGAGCCTTGAAGACACACAGCGACGAGCAAATACCATGCGGATACACACATTCCGGGCCCGCGGCAAAAACTTGGCTGGTGCTGCTATCTCGTCTTTTTGGACCAGATGGCATATCGGCGACTCTTCCTTTCGTCATTGCAACAATAGATCAGCGTGTGGAGGACTTGTGTAGAGACTCTGATGCTCGTGTGTCTCTACCCGCGTCTGCCTTACACCATGCATTCCTGAGACGCGCAAAGGCGCATGCAACTATTGTGCCGGGACTTTATGGTGTAGACGCATGTATCTGGCGTGCGAGATCCACTGCTTCCGTCAGCGACGACGACCGCCTGCAGATGAAGTATCGGTGTGCCCGTTCCTAACTCGACCTTGGCTGATAGGAGTTCCAATGCGCAGATCCTCGAACTACATCAGAAGTCCTTTTGCATCTCAAGCGGCTCGTTAAAATGGCTTCTGATGCGAGGACCCTTCCATGCATCTAGTGCGAGCCCGTCTAGCTCCATGATATTCCGCAATCGCAACGAGTTTACGAAGCCTTTCGTTTAGCTGCAACGCCGACGTGCTGTCGCGTGGCGACTAGAGACGTGCGACGTCTCACCGTCAGCAAAGACGACATAAGAAGCTGCGTCGCACAGGCTTGCTGATTCGGCGCAGGACGGGAGACGCAGGCGACACGACCGCTGCGAGGAAACTGGAAACCACGTACTCAGGGTAAATCCCACGGTTTGGGAGACAGCGTCTGCATAGAGGAATACGCATCCACGTACACGTATATATATATATATATATATATATATATATATCTTTATGTAAATATATGGGCATACGTATACACAGATATCTATGTATACATACACATACATATTTATATACATTTATGTATATATACGCTGAAGCTGCAGAAGCCGTCTCATTGGCGGGGACGACTGCTCTGGACGGCGCTCCCGTCGGCAGTAGGCAGCCTGTCGAGGTCCTAGGGTGAGTGCCCATCGACTGGCGCCAGCGCGTAGCGCCGCACCGCGACCGCCTGCGACATCAACGTGTTTCGTGCGCCCTACAAGGGCACCTAGATCCGTGCCTAGTTTCCTGCGTCGGCAGAACCCCGCTAACACCTTCATGTGAGACTTTCCCTCCAACAGGAAGGCCTGCTCCAGCCCCCTGGCGTCCCTGCTGAGCCCTCCTATCAGTGTCTTTCTCGCCCGCCTTCTCTCGCACCTGGGGCTTGTCTCAGCCTCAGATTCTGGAGAGGGAGGAATGCGCTCGTATTCGACGTGCACGACGCGGCTCGGATGCGCAGGCGGCCGCACTTATCTCATCCGTACTGGCGTGGCGTCTGTTTCAGCCACGTTAGTTGCACTGTACGCAGATAGCGGTGGAGGGCCTGCATCCAGGAGGAGGTGGGTGTCGCTAAGCTGAACCCCGCTGCGGAAAGAGCGCAGTCCTTCCTGCAGAACAAGAGTCGCCCTGTTAGCGGACGACGGCAGGGCGGGAGGCGACGCTGAAAAACTAGAACAGATTGTGTGCGGAGACATCTGGGGGCCGTACTGAGCCGTTAGTGCGGAAAGATCGGCAGGCCTGATCAAATTCTCCATCTGAGAGGCCCAGCATCCCCTCGTCTTCTCTCGTGACGAAGCGTCCCCTGAATGTGGAGAAGCTTACTCGATGCTGTCGCTGCGCAGAGTTGAGTCTCTTACACGTGATGCTGCTTTGTTTCGTTAGTGCAGAGCCACGTTCTGGTGACATACGTCAAGCAGGCAAAAGGTGCTTTCTCGCCCGTCTCCTCCCCGGTGACCAAACCTCTGCAGAGAGAAGTAAGACCCTTGAAGAGGAGAAGAGACTGCGCTGGGTCGCCTGAGCGGGTTGCCAGCATGCGACAGAACAACACAAGAAAGCTTTGGCAGTACGTGGGGAATAGTCTGCTAGATCGTGTAGAAGACGCCGCCACAGCAAGGTAGTCCTCTCCACGCCACGAAAAGTGGTCCTGTAAAAGTCGAGCGTACCTTGTCTTCGGGTCATTTTAGGCAATCGGGCCCACTTCTGCCAGAGAGTAGAAGCGGTTCGTGCTGGGCTGGCGCCGAAGGAGTAATGTCTTCTGCTGAGATTTCTTAATCGTTTGCAGAGGTGCCTTGGGGATTCGCGCTGATGGGTCCTGTCCTATGGGAGCGTTGCAGTCGTTGGCTGCGCACCTGAATGGGATGCGTGAAACGGAATGCACTGGCAAGTGGTCGGGTCTTCACCTTTCTGCCCCGGCCTATTAAAGCGTAAGATGTAGCGGCAAAGCTTTCGTGCTTGCTGTGTCACAACAACGCAGTCGCTAAAACAAAGATGAGCTTGACTGAGCGCGTGGGACATTTACAAGGGCTTAAATCTGCCCCGCTGTACTGAAATGGTAGACGCTGGCGTGCGTATGCTGACTGAAGAACTGGAATTTTACTCTAAAGCCTTCAGCGCTCCCACGCACATTCTGCTCTGCGATGTTCTGGTGGATCAGATACAGCGCTTCTACCTCTGCCTCGCCGTCCGCACGAGGCGGTGCACGGCAAGTGAGCCGTAGTAGCTTTTGCTACACTCTAAAAGTCCTACTAGCCACGAAGTCGTGAGAACCACGCACAACAGGATGTGGCGGTCTGTGAAGTATGGTGAAGTCGGCGAGCGCTTGTAAGGGCTGGCCCCTGAAAGTGTGCGACCTAGACACGTATGCACGCGCGTCCTCGGGCAAATCTGTACAGCACTCAACGCAGCCGGAAGGACGGACAGTCACGTTTGACCTGGTGCAGTCTCGCTGCCGCGCGTTTGCGGCGAACCCAGTCACAGAGGCACTCTACACGCAGTACCTTGTGGAAGTAGGGTCGTGCGCGGCCTCTCTCTGAGGCGCCACGACATTGGGTTGCAGCCTGCCGGAACCAGGGGAAAACTAACACTGGCACGGACGCTTGCAGGCGGCAGCAAGTTCATCAGGATGCGACAGCGGCGTCTTCGGATGACATGTGGGACAGAGAGAATTCGCGGTGGACTAAAGAGGGTCACACATGGCAGAGTAGACGACACAGCATCGCTTCTCAGATGCTACGTTTCGATCGCCATTTCGCCTTCCCAGACGCCGCGGGTCGGCGGCGCGGAGCCGGGAGAGCTGCTGGAGATTGAAAAACATTCTGTGCGGGGCTCCGCGACATACAATCAGTTGTTCTCTCATAGAAGCAGGGAAAAGCCTTCCGCCGCAACAGTGTCGGGAGCAGGGCTGCGCTTCGAGTAGGTCGCAGCATCAGTCTTCTTCCGCGACAACTCTGAAAGCTTGACGGTACAACGCGAAAGGCACTGCAGGACTGGAGAGGGCCTGGGCGGAGTGTCCGTATGCCAAGACGGCGTTAAACGTCAAAGGAGCTGAGATGCGAGGACAAGAACTACAGGCTACGTTTAAATTAGCCTGCGGCCTCGCTGGGCTACCAGTAAGCGTCGCCACGAAAGAACGAATAGGTGTCCTTCCTCGCGGTATACGATCTATGCAGGACATCTCATCTGTCGACAGTGTCCACTAACACCGGCACCTTCGCGCGCCACCGGAGTTGCACTGTAGTAGCGAGGGTCGGCCGAAAATTGGACCGCCGTGAGCAGGCAGTTTCCGCCGCAGGGCTTTCAGAACAAGTGACGTTTTATTGCAAAGAGGAAGGTGAGGGCTTAATAGGCGGCCAGCTGTGTGTCTCCAGCGAAGACGGGCTGTGTGTTGCAGGCACGTTTCCACATTTCAGTAAGCCGTTGGCAGAGCTAGAAGCAGAGTCCTGTTCGCATGATGTCTACGTCTGCAGGCAACGGCAAAATGTCGTTACGCTTCTCCGGACAAGCGTGACAAACGCGGTACAGCTTACTTCCCTTTCTGGGAGAAGTGATCAGTTTCGAGCACAGCGTGACTCTCCAGTACTGCCGACCGTTTTGCAGACGCGGTGCATTGACTGGAAGGCTTGGAGCACCAGCACGGGTGGCTCGCGTTTCAATCATGCCTGGCAGTGCTCGCTACGTCTCCTGGTGGTCCTCACGGCGAAAATGCGTTCAGCGGCAGTGTAGTGCTGTGGGCGTGCCCCCAGTAGCTGCCGGGTAGCCCGAGTCCTGCCGGCATCGTCTTGCGCGTACCGGGCGGCGAGGCGCAGGTTGAGTGAGGAGCCGCCGATGCCGCTATAGTTTGCACACGAGGAAATCCCACCTTTCCCTCGCTTCTCCGAGACTAGTGTTTTGCGGGCTCCGGCCCTGGCTGCGCCCGGGGAATTGCTGGAGAAGCAGGGCTTTGCCGAGAGATCCCGCACTGAGGAAACAGGCGGCGCCCTCCATGAGGCATATTCCGCAGAGAGACATCCCTCGTCCGCTAATAGCGTAGCGTACGCAAGGTACGGTAGGAGGCAGCCTGCTGCGCGTATACATTCCCAATCCGGCAGGCGGCGCCCGTGCGCCTGCACGCCTTCGTCCTGATACTGAAATCACTTCACCCAATACCGTCTCTGTTGCAACGGCTAAGGGACGAGCGTGACAGAATCTCATTGTTATCGCCCTCTCCTCTTCAAGGGTAGAATCACACGGACGAGCACGCATTTTTGGAGTATCAAAAACGCCGAAGCTCATTGAGTGCAGGTGGCAAAGAAGCGCGAGTGCCGCATACGGCTGGGAAACGCGCAAAGAGATGTAGCAGCTGGATGCAGCGCAGCTGCTCGCAGCTCCTCTGCTGGAGAGCTGTCGACACGCTCTTCAGTCCTTGCTCGTGGCTGGAGCAGCGGTGCCGAGACTATACGGAGCACAATGAATCTTATCACTGTCATTACGACTACTTCCACTAGACTCCACTAGGACGCCAAAGTCATAGCACAAAGTCGCCCGACGCTCGAGTGCTGCGTTCGCAAGTGGCTAGTGGAGACCCCCGTCGCGTCTGAAGCTTTAGGCACGGATGTGGCATAATATACCAAGCGCCAGAGCGTACAAATGGGTAACAACCTCCAGTGGGGGAACGCTAAGGCGTGTGAATGGTGGCGGGTCGCATTTCCTGGCTTCGACGTAGCCTGCTGCGCACAATGCTGCTGCGATTGTCGTTTGTCGAGAAGGCGCACTGTTTGGCACATCAAGAAAGCGAGCGCCAGACCGCGGGGGCGCGCGCACGGATGAATTGGGGCTGTGCGGGCGCATTGCCAGGCGCGCCGTACGAGACGCTTCGTGCAGATAAGAAGCGCTGTGGATCTCGTGCTGTCCGGATCAGCCCCTGAGCTCACACACGGGTGGAGGGTATGCTGCCTTCGGCCACTGCGTAGTGTATTCCGTAGACTGCATGTCGCGCGCGTTGAGGCACGACTTCCTGTGGCGGCTGCTTTAGTGATGAAAAAGAATCGCCGGTCGACCTGCTGGGGGAAAGAGCTGACGGTGTAGAGCCGGTCAAAGATACGCCAGGTTCTCATGACGGTCGCATGATTGACAGGAGGGCAAAAAGCAGAGTGGACACCATACGGAAATCAGCGGATACAGTGGGGGTACGCACGTTTCCCAGACGGCGGCGAGGAAGCTGGCGGTACCGCTCTTTCATCCTCTCCGCCAGGTGGCACATCCGTGGCACATCAGTGGCTCCTGTTTTCGTTGTTGCAGGAAAGGGTGAGCGTATGCAAGACCTCCAAGGAGTCCCCCTGAACGCGCGTTTGCTTTTTCCAGTGCAATTCTGCTGCGTCTCAACCTGCAGACAACTATTACAGCCGTGCCTTTATAATGTGGACACAAATAACTGGCATGCGAGATCGGATACTTGCATCAACCACGATGGGGGCCCCAAATACCGGTGTGCCACCTCTGCAGTCGACTGCTCCTGACGGCATTCTAATTACCAGGACGCAGACTCACGTCAGCTTGCCTTGTGACTTTCGAGGAGCCAGACCAATTGCCTACTACCGTTAGGCATTTCCTCTGCACCTGCTGCAGAAATGTGTATTTCCATAGTACTGCGCACGTGGAGAAACGTGACGAAGCACG